GTATGCTTTTCACAGATAGCTTTTAAAGAAAGAAAATAGAGCCCTAGGCTCTACTATCTCTCTTAGTAGAAATCTCCATGAAGCCATAGCTGTCTAGTTGTGATGAGGTCCAGCACAGAGCAACCAAGGGAATTCTTGGGAAAGAACTTCCTAACTTCTTCCTACATCCCACAACAAATTGCAAGCCTTCGAATGGGGAAGGCTTGATGAAAAAATTATGTTAATACCTCGCTGTTGCACCCTAATTACAAATTGCCATATTCTGGAATATTTTGAACATTGAGAAAATAATCCAAAAAGCTGCTTTAAACCTTTCTTGAGATTCAGGCGGATATTTAGCATTCAAGGGGTTAAGCAATTTGAGTTGTCTTCTATGATATGAATCAGCATAGCTGTGTTTTCTCCAGCAGTCCTACACTGTTTTGATAACCTGAGTCTTTGGCTCCATATTACTTATCATAAAATGGCCAGTTTGTGTAATATTCTGCTTAATGTTTTACAGAATCTAGTTGATGACACTGGAATTGTTTATGCTTATATTTTTCCTCTAAAGCCCTTGAAAAACTGTTATTGATGCTGTGTAGTTTTAGTATTATAGCTGTTGGTCCTAAAAATGCATCTGATGAATAATGCTAAGATTATGCTCTTGTTAATACAAATATAAGATCACTCCAGATGAAGACTTCGTGCTTAGATCAGTTATACTTTGCTTATAAACCGCTTACTACTGTGGAAGCAATTAGCGTACTTCCAACATGGATGAGTACAAAGTGCAAAAAAAACCAAACAAGCAAACCAAAAATGGACAACGGAATGAGGAGACTGGTGATTTAAAAAGAAACGCTTAAAAAAACCTGAACAAATATAAAACCAGTATGTAGTCATTTAAGCGTTACATTACTTTAATTATATATCTTCTCAGCTCTAGAAAATGTGAGTCAGATACCATGAGTGTGAGCCATGACTGAGAGGGATGTAATGCTACGGGAGCAAAAGCGCTCTGTAATCTTAGCATTTTCACAGCAGACAGGTTTGGGGCCTGATCCTATGTAGTGCTCAGCACCCATTGGAAATACTGAGGGTCAGGCCCTTGAGCAGACATCAGTGGTTTTTGCACTAGTCACTCCTCGCTCTCGTGGTAAGTTTTTTAGAAGCCGCTGAGGCGAAGGCCCGTTGTGATGGGATCAGCGTGCAGACGCCCACACGTTGCCCGGCCTGTGGGCCTGGGTCGGAGTTAGCTGGACTCGGCTTCTGCTTGGCTGCATGATGTCCTGCATGGTGGTGGACCTGGCAGTGCTAAGTTAACAGTTGGACTCAGTGACCTTAAAGGTCATTTCTAGCTTAAACAGTTCTGACGTTCTATGACAGGCAGCGGCCGTGGTGGCGAGCAGGAGGAAGGGCTGGGCACTGTGCTGGCAGCTACGCGTCGGCCCGGCTGGCGCTGGCCATGCACCCACTTGGCACAGGGTGCCCTGCGGTGCTTTATTTGCAAAACTGAGGCGTTAACCTGGTGTCCTGCACAGTTTCTTCGTTACAGACACTACCTCAAGGTGAGAGACGAGCCTGTTGACTAAACCGAGCAAGGTCTGTTGTTCGGAGAGCGGTTAAGGTTGTGTGTAGCACTGAAAGTTGTTCAGACAGGATCTATGGGTCCAGTCAGCCAATAATATGAATAATCAATTTTACTCCTTAAAGTGCTCAGGAGTGGAGTTGTGCTTCAAAAGGGGATAATTAAAAATGGGAATATTTACTCAAAGCAGAGCAGTGTTCTGCATGCACGGTATTGTATAAAACGCACAAGGATGTTGCCAGGGCCTCCAAGAAAGCTGGGGAGGGACTGTTTACAATGGCATGTAGTGACAGGACAAGGGGCAATGGTTTTAAACCAGAGCAGGGTGGATTTAGATTAGGCATTGGGAGGATGTTCTTTATGATGAAGGTGGTGAAACACTGGAACAGGTTGCCCAGGGCAGTGGTGGAGGCCCCATCCCTGGAGACATTCAGGGTCGGGCTTGGTGGGGCTCTGAGCAACCTGATCTGGTTAAAGATGTCCCTGCTGACTGCAGGGGGGCTGGACTAGATGACCTTTAAAGGTCCCTTCCAGCTCAACATCTTCTGTGATTTGGTTTTGGAAACGTCAAGTCTGAAAGCGCTGACCTCCTCTGTCTTTCCCAGGTGGCAGTTTCATACCCCAGCTCACTGGCTGGGGGAACAGCCACTGACAAGAGCAGGGGGAATAAAAACACCTTGAGCTGCTGTTTCATAGTATTTTGACTGCGTGCTCCTGCTAAGTTTCAGTCCACTGCAGAACAGCTA